GGATAGTCCATTAATCCCCCCGGATCCCTTTCGGTTTCATCGAATTAGCCAGCCGCTTCTGCAGACACACGACTATCCGGCGAGGATGTGCATGTTACTCGCCGAAAATTGCCCTTTCATCACTTTAACGCTTCTTATCGTCTGCCCCAGCTCCCAAAACGTGCACGTGATTTTTTTCCCTCAATTTTACCTGTCATCCTTGGTATCACTTTGTCAAACGCTCCTGTTCAAATGTCATCTGTAATCCTGTCCAGATGTAATTGTACACTATAGAAACAACTGTCGAGCGTATAATTAATATTTGTGCAACAAGCTTAATAATTTTATTGACAATGAAAATATATGACGGAACAGAGGCGAAGTACGATAAGCATTTGAAATTCGAGGTGTTCGCGCTTCGGAGGGCGCTTTAGGGAACACTGGTGCTGCAGCGAACCGACCCCGGCTATCGATCATACTTTTGCTTCCCTCTGTCGGGGATGGCGTGCAAGCTCGAGGTAAAATTTCTGTTATCCTTTAACAAACCACCCTTACCACCCTCTCGCGAATTCACCCCGCGTGATACGCCTTGCGCGTTTGGCTATCTGTTACGCGTGCTTGAAGTTAAAGGGCGTTGCGATCTGTTTTCGCGTCAACACACTACTACCTGATCGACCTTTTGCATTTGTGATTATTAATCCATTCTTTACATGACGTTTAATTCCGTCTAAATCCTAATTTTCAAGTTACAATAGACAGCATCTAAACTGTTTATTTTATGTAGAAATCTAGGCTCTCGTTTTCATACGATTTATTATGTGTGTATATGTATTATAAATGACTTGGCGTACACCATAATTTTACAAAAAATATATAATTATGCCATCGAGAGATCCTACCAAACCTGCAACATCTCCTGTTAAAGATATCTCGCTAAATCCCAAAAAGATTTATTTCATTGTATAGTGTTTTCTGTGAAAAAAAATTGTTAAAGCTAAGCATAGTTTTTGGGCCGTTAAAACAGAATAAATAACCCCGTAAAGGACTATACTGATAGAGGAAAGTCCTTTATTATGAGATAGACAGTATGAGATACCGGGTTTTCAACATCAAATCGCAAATCTTTTTTCACAACGATTACACGATCTAACAGTGAATTTTCCACTAAACAGATTTCGCTCCAATAAATCAACGATGAAACCAATAGATGATGCTTAGTAATTTAACAAACACCCTGCTATCTCATATTAGGAGCTTGTCTCATAATAGAGGACTTTTCTCTACTGATTGTATTGATACGATTTATGTTGTGCAATTTACACTCGCGTCTTGATTGCAACTGTGGAATGTGGACCAGAAGTGGTAAATAAATGCGAAGCGAGACAAAACGAATCAACAGAAAAAGCGATCGGTGGAGAAGTGGCGAATTGAAAGCAATACAATGTATGTAGCTCCGATTTGCATGTGAAGAATAGCGGGAACTTGCTGGGGGCGTAGTGCACGCGAAGTGTACAAAAGTTGGGAGAAAAACACGGAAATGAGATAACAGTTCACAATTTTCGCCATTTAATTGCATTATACATCTTCAGTAATGTCCTTATTCGCTACTCTCTAAAAGTCAATCAGTGGATTGTCAGTGGAAACAATGCTTGTATTTACTGATTCACGAATTATTCAAGTGCTATACTTATAACTGTTTTCAGTGATGGTGCACTGATTGACTTTTAGAGAGTAGGTGAGCGTGTAATCGTACATTTTCGTTCGATCTACCGACATGAGAGATTCCCACTGTTCTCCGATCTATCTGGAATTTAAATAAATTAATGATCCGATCGTTTTCGTTCGATCTAATATGATTTCCATTGTTCTCCGATATAATTGAAATTTAAATTATTAATAAATGGATGTAATTAGTATCGGTGCTCTAGTTTTGTGACAGATGAACTGACAACGAGCCAAATTTAAAGATAAATATCTAATTATCGTGTACCTACACATGCACGAAGCCAGTTGATATCATAACGATTGCGAATACTACCGATTTCCGCTGTCGAATGAGCGCTTAGAGGAATTTCCAACGAGTTTTATACATATTTGTTCGTAGCTAACAATTGTTCGGAGATCACAAAACAGAGAGTAAACATTAATCGACGACCAGAAGAGGAAGCACCGCCGGATATTCACGGGAAAATCGTTCAAGGCAAATTTGTATTTTCGCGTTTGAACGCGACCGACAATCGAAAAGGGCGGAAGGAAGTTAGGAGGCGCCCTGCGAGAGGAATCTTTAATGCACCGCGCACTCGCCGTTCCTTCCGGCGCGGCGGCGGCGACGGCGACAGCGGCGGCGGCGGCTTTTTTCACGTACTTCGCTATCCGATATGTCGCGGGAGTATCGTCGGCGGCAGCGTGGTTACATTTCGAGCGTAAAGCGCAAAGCCCCCGCGAAATTAAATTTCCCACGACGCGACCGACTGCTTTCCCCGGCGTCGATGCAACTGCAACCGGCGCGGCGGCGGACGGCTGCATTGCAGTCGGCGGTTTGGCAATCGAGCTGCGGTTGGATCGATGTACCCTCGTATATCCGTTATATGAAGCTGCACCTCCCCCATCCCCCGCGATCTCCCCTCTGGCCACCCGCTTCTTCCGCAGCGCACAAATAATGCAGCGACATTTGACCGAGTGCTCACACGCGGCGCGCTAAAAGTGGCGAGCGGCGCGTTGGGTGTCCGCGCCACGAGAGGGTGATAACCAACCCTCTCGTCTCGACCGCTTGCACTTTCGGTCGCTGCCGATTAGACCGATTGTAACGGCGAAATATGCCTCTGAGTCTACCTAAACCTTTTGACAAAATAACATTATCTCATTTGATTGACGCTCATCACGAGCGTGGTGAAGGCTGCGGCAAGGTATCTTTATCACGTGGGGCTGGATAGCTCAGTTGGAGGGGCATTCGCCTGGCGAGCGGAAGGTCCCAGGTTCGAATCCCTGGTCTAGTCCTAGCTCGTTATTTTTCTCGCCGAACCAATCATCTGCTTTTTGAAACCACGCGCCTGTCCCAGAGTCTCAACTGTGATTGGTCAGGTAGGTCAGGTACAGGGAATATGGAACGGAAATCCAACACGCGTCGGAAATTCTGTTTCTATTGCCTATTCCATATTCCATTGTGCGTCGATACACGGTTTCTGGTAAGTTGGAATTTAGTTATTTCTATGGTCGCCTGTGTTATTCCCTATTCCTATTGCCTGTGCTTTCCTATTGCGTGATAGGCTTTACAGCGAGTAGTTCCAAGCACATTTCTTTCCTACGGGAATAGTGTAATGAAAAGACGCGTTCCTGAATGCAGTCTATATTCCTCAAGTTTAATTCAAGTTGGATGATGCACCTCGTATATCGCATAAAGTTCGATTTACATATTCTACGCATAAGTTCCACGATGACTTAACTAACGTACGTAGAGTTTACTAATGGCTTCTGGTTAGACAATACTCTTCGAAATGACGAGTTACATCCGGTGCGCGAGTACAAAATGTTATGAGTACCATTGACTCTTAAAGTCGTTTTATAGAATCGGAAAGTAGTACGAGGGCATCGTTTGTAAAGAATCTGCTCGAGCGTCTCTAGTGGAAGAATCGTTACATCCGTTAGTTGTCCCCTCTTCTCTCGAAAAAGTTTCTTTTCTGATACAACGTTTCGTTTGCGACTCTCTCGACGCAAAGGAAGCAGGACCCCCTTCAGCATCCTTTATTTAAACGCGTGCTTCCGGAAAATCACCGAAGATAAAGCTTCGGATAAAGCGGACTCGAACACGGATGACACATCGCTTTAATATCTCGCGTAAATTAAACAGCATCCCGGCATCCCCTCGCCGTTTGCATTGCGACGTTCGCACGGTTATCACGCATTCGGTAATTATCCGACCGCATTGTTTTTAGCGTTCGCGCACTCGCCATTCACGGCAAATGAACGCGGACGAATTCGCGCATGCGACACATACGCTCGTCGCCGCGGGGCTAATAACAGCTACGGACTCTTAACAATCTCGAGTCGGCGGGAAATGGCTTTTACCGTTCGCTCCTAATCTCGCAGTGTGGAGCGTTTCATTATACTTAGCCGGTTCGCACAGTTTGGCAACTCGAGCAAATATCCTCCGGGTATTTCCACACATTATTACGATACTGAATACGGTTAAGGTGTAATTAACTCAGCGCTCCCCGCAGACGACCACGTACTTCTCCCCCGTTCTCCGCGGGGCGCGGTAATTAGCTCTTATAATAAATATGCTGATGCAAGAATAGCAACGCGGCCTGGAAGACGCAAGCCGTCTATCGAGAGAGTACAGTGTCTCGCGTCAAATGTACGCGCAACAAAGCAAACCGCGTATCTACAGGCAAGCCGACTTTGGAAACACCCTTCGATTATCGAATCTCAATAAAGGCTGAACCGAGCAAGCCCCTCCCCCCCGGTAGGCTCGATCGATAGCTGGGGCTGGAAATACAAAAATATTATACTGAGTTTTGATTTTTCGTTTGTGTCCTACGAGCGAAAATATCGCAATGCAAAGTCTGACCTGGCAAATTTACATTCAAAAACCGTCATTATTGTCGTCGTTATCATCACCTAAGAAAACGATATACTTTTCGTTTAACTGTCATCAAATGGTGCACTCGCTGTGCTCGCTAGCGCATTACAAAAAAAACATGAAAATTTTTGTCCAATTATATACATATAATTTTATCAATTATCGTTCTATCGTATCTAAGTTTAAACAATCCTTCAATCAGGTATACAGATCAGAAACCAATAAACTCTTTTGCCAAACCAAAATAAACTGCACTAAAATTCTTTACAATTTATAACGTCAAGATTATAACTGACAATGTTTTGTCAGGAGATTTGTCACAAGATTATAACTGACAAGATTATAACTGACAATGAGTCAAATGAATTATTTTCAAGCTTTTTGTTTCTACAGTGTTTATTATCGTACTTTCCCTCTATTTATTTTAAATTATATGTATTTCCACAGACCATGGTTCCACAGCTAAAATGGTTCGTATATCGAAGTAAGTGCTTACGTTTTGCTGATAAGAAACGACCAAGGTAACGAATGATCTCCTAAGTGTATTCGTTTGTATATTATTTAAAAACGATAATTGGCTACTGCCTTTTTATCGCACAAAGTATTGTCACGTTCTTTTTAGTATGTGTACAAGAACCGTAAGTTATTTTTCATATTGCTACTCAACTTATTTGATGTGCTTGGCATCGACCGTTTCTGGTCTTTACATCATTATTGTTTTATTCTTCCCATATACGTAAGTTCTTTTTTACTAATATTAAAGACTGACAAGAATCTTGCGTTAATCAAAAATGCGTGTACTAACTCGTAAAACATTTTTTTTTTACAAATATCGAAGATTGCAATATTTCATACTAATATCACGTTATACAATTTTGTATTAAAATTATTGATAATATTAATATGCTTATAATTTATTAATTATATTATTGTTCCATGAATAATATTACAAATTTAAGCGAGAAATTTCTGTAGACAACATTAATAATGAATAATAAAAATTACTGGTGCTATAGTTTCTTTTATAAATTATATCTTAATATAGCTCGTTTAAAAATATTTACATTACGTATCTCAATATTGTGAAATAGTCTTTACGATTCATTCTTTTTAGCAAAGTAAACTATTTTCCAAAACGACTTATATGTAAGTCTACGGGAAGATTGCAATGGATCCTAAGACAGAACAGAAAATATTTAAACGAACACAATGGCCTCAATGGCTCGCTGGTATCGGAAGTATGTGTTACTTCTATTAATATTTCAATATTAATACTATATCAATGTTTACGAAATATATTTATTACATATATTAAAGAAACCTTTTAAATAGTTTCTAAAACATATTCATATTTGATTGAAGAAATATTCACTTCAATTGGTACATGTAAAAAAGCTCTTTATCTTTTTTTCTTTATCTTTTCTTTATCTTTTTTCTTCTTTATCTTAGAAAATATAAACACAACTAATAAGTTTTTAATTTTTAGCCAATCTTCTGCTTTTACAAATAGGAATGATAGTGATGTGGAGTTCACCGTATTACAAATATCTGACTTCACCCGAAAGTGACATACCCGTGACAATGGATGAAGCTTCCTGGATAGTCTCTATATTACTTATAGGAAATATGATTGGCGCTCTTTCTAGTGCTGTTATTATGAACTATTACGGTACTGCAAGAGCGGTCTTGATGATGAGTTTGACAATAACTGCCAGCTGGCTTTTTATAGCTGTAGCTAACGAAGTGGCATGGTTGTACGCAGCCCGAATACTAGCTGGCATTAGTATGGGACAGGCATACCTCTATATCCCGTTTTACCTTAGCGAGATTGCAGACCCTACTATTCGCGGAACTCTTGTTGCCTTAGGTATGCATTAATACTTTCTACAGTTACGTTAAGCAAATTAATATATGTAACAAATTATTTTGTTATCGTAAACATCGTAATTAATCATAATATAACATGTTACAGAAAGTTTTTGTCTCTACATACATAATACATATGACAGATTTCTTATTTATAAAATTAATATAGTAAAACATATTATAAAAGAAACAAAAGTTCCAAAGAATTAAAGCGGATACAATCGCGTTAACGATAAATAATTATATGTAATACTTATAATATAATACTTATGTATTAACAAAGAGGTTTTTCTTCGCAGCTACAAATGGAACATCATTAGGCAACATAATGATGTCCACGATGGGTGCGTATTTAAGGATGGAGGTGAGCGGTATCATATGCTTTGTCATCAGTTTAGTGCCGTTAATTATCATCTTCTGGTTGCCGAACACACCGCATTATTTGGTCAAAATCAAAAAGGAGGATAAAGCGCGAGCCTCGATACTCTGGTATCATCGTGATTGCAATGTGGAATCCGAGTTGCAAACGCTGAAGCTCTTCCTCGAAAAGAATAAATGTCTATCGTTCGCAGACGTTATAAAGGAATTCAGAAATCCGTGTGTTTGGAAAGCACAAGTACTCGTGTCTATGCTCATCATATATTTTGAATTAAGCCAAAGCTACTTGTTGTATTACATGGAGACCATCCTACAAGACGCTCAAGTGACTGTTATAGAGCCGTCAGTGATGGTAATCGTCGTTAACGTTACGGGATTCGTCGGTTCCCTGGTTTCTATGTTCCTGATCGATAAGTTCGGCAGGCGAATTCTGATGATCATCTCCAGCTTGGGCCTAACGATCGCGTTCATCTGCTTAGGTGTACAATATCAACTTCTCGACGCGGGCTACGACCCCACCAGTTTTCAAGCTTTACCAATTTTCGCGATGTTGCTCTTTGCAATGTCCTCATTTATCGGCGTCATCCCAGTACCGAACGCGGTAATAAGTGAGGTCTATCCACCACATATTAAATACATAGCCAGCTGTTTCACCATGGTTGTCGGTGGGCTAATCGCTTTTGTCGCCACGTCGACATATCTCCCTTTAGTTAATTTGATCACGGAAAAGTACGTGTTCTATGCGTATGCTTTGATACTAGTAACCGCCGTACCATATAGTTATTTCTGTATGCTTGAGACTAGGTGCAAGTCGTTACAGCAGATTCAAGAAGAATGGAAAAGTTAAACAGAATGTTTCAACCGGATGAGTCAAATACATTTATTATCGAATTCTTCAGATCTCTAGAAATTTGAAACAAACTCGTTTTTCATGTTCATTACGAAACATTTTTCGTGTCGACAGCGATACTAAGTAATATTAATATGACAAATAATGATTTAACAAATTAAAATCATAAAGCAAAATATTTTTATTTCATCTGAGCATAGGTAACTTATTTAACTGTGTAATATAAACCAACGTGGATTAACGAAAAACATCTGACAAATATATAACGGTACTCACTTCTACTCATTGTATATCATCTTAGCACATGTACAATTATGCTGTATGGGGCCATGAAAGCTCGCGATAGTGCTGGATTATTGGACGTGTTGAATGATCCAAGGGTCGGATTAACATTATACGGTAAATAAATTCATGCTTAGCTCTATACTTTTTATCACTACTTTTATAATAAAATTAAAATAAATAGCTTTGATTTATAACTATTTTAACGGTTTCAAACAAAAAACTTTTATAAAATTCTTTGAAATGCCATATTGTCCCACGATTATATGATTTTCAGGATAAATTTTGAGAGAAAATTCTCTCCGTTTATATTACGAATTTTGTAGTGTCAATCGACTTATAAGTAATTTGGGATGTATTAAAATGTTTTTGAACTGTGTACAAACCATTAGAAATAAAAAAATTATAATTGTGAATATGAGGTAATGAAAAAGAGGAGGAGGGCAAAAAAGTGGGAGAGTAGGAGAGTTGTAAGAGATATGGGGGACATCGTGGCAGCGGAAAAGACGAAGACTATGATGATGCCGTTTCTGAAACTATTGTTCCATTTTAATATGTGTATCGTATTAAAAAATATTAATATACAATGGCAATTGTTTAGAATCAGAACCGTGAATTAAAATTTGGCCTGATGTCGGGCCTCGTGGCGCTCTCCGTCGGAGCACGATCGCGGCGAGTCGCGCCGCGACGTCTTTCCTCGCGAGCTCGCGAGGGCGAACGGGCATAGCTGATCGAGCTTCGGAGCATTTTTCGCGTCTTTACCTGATTCGGCGACCCGGTCGCGCGATGTTTGTTCCACCAATCAAAACTCTTCTCGTTTTCTAGCGACCGTGAAATCGCTCGTCCCTAAAGTGAGTCCCGTTCGCGTGTGCCCGCTCGCCTAGTTCTCGCGCCCGTTCGAGAAAATCGTTTCTCCATCGTGCTTGCATCGTTTCGTAAGGGCCCGCGCCCCTTTCGAGGCTCCGTCGCAATATTCGCGCCGATCAAAGGCGCTATATCGCCGCGTGATCGGTCTACCGACTCGTGTGTCGGGTTCCCGTCAAATCGCTGCCGCAAAGCAGAGCCCGTGCGCGGCGAGCTTTCGGTATTTCGATAGTCCATCAAATCGCGTGCGAGCTCTTATTAAATCCTTGTTAAATCAACCGTGCGTGCGTCCGTTAAAATTCCTATCTGACTTGTTGCCGATTAAGAAGTGTTCACGGCCCAATCTGCGTGTCGAGTGCGCGAGTATCCTCCTCCACAGCGGTGCGCGATCGCGTACGTTCGTCTGCTCCGCGTTAAGAATTCCGTTGGCCGCGCTCAAGATTGTCCGATTCGTTTGGGTGTTGAAATCAACGCTCGTCAAGATCTCCCGTCGCGCCGTTAGTTAGCAATAATCATATACTTCATTCCACATTCTTTTAGGATTTACCAAAATTCCTTTAGAATTTACCATGAAAGATTTCATAACCAGAAGTTTGCTAGACTTCACTACAAATCTGGTAAATCCTAAAGGAGTTCTGATTCGTCCATTCTCTAACAGACGACTGGTTGAATCTATCAGATTTTTTTTTCAGTGTACGCTCAGCGCTGGGCGGCTTCCAGTGCCTTTCATTTTTCGCCGGTTACGTTACGCGGAAATCGCGACTAGTTTCCCCCTTTTTTTTTCTTCTTTCTCTTTTACGCGAACAGCAATAATAAAGAAATAATAAAGAAATAGAAATAGAAAGAATAATAAAGATATAAAAATAGAAAGAATAATAAAGATATAAAATTATTAAAATACAGAAATAGAAAGAATAATAAAGAAAATAATAAAGACACTTTCATTATGTAGGATCCTGGGCAATCGATCAAGCTTACTACAATTTTCATACGCCCAGCCGCTAGTTGCTCGAAAGTCACGTGAAGATCACCTTCAGTTTTTTTAAATCAAACTGCCTGCATTTTATTGCATGTTCTTGTAGTTCATCTCGAGAACTTTCCAAAACACTATAACGAAGTACTTTTTCGTTAGGTACTTTTTAATTTATAAGTAGGGCCCAGACGTTCGGGCGGTTTCTCGGTGCGCGCGCGGAGCACCACTGCTTGTGAGTAAGTTTTAAGTTCTCGCGCACCGAGGAGCCGTCCAAATGTCTGGGCCCTACTCATAACTTAAAAAGTACTCAACGAAAAGGTACTTCATTAAGGTGTTTTGAAAAACTCTCGAGATATGAGCTACAAGAACATACAATAAAATGTAGGCAGTTCTATAAAAAAAAAATGAAGGTGACTTTCACGTGACTTTCAAGCAACTATTCAAGGTCAAATTAATGACACCACCTTATGTCCCCCTCGACATCAACTTTTGTCTGAAACACTTTTGCTGAAAACGCTTCGTTAAAGAAATACGTGATAAGAAACGACGAGGTAGCTTATTATCTTTGAAACATATACTATTTACTTAAAAAACGTACATAGTTGGGTACCATGCTTCTTTTAATATGCATGTTTTTTCTAACGCCTGGGCAAGAACTGTATCTTATAACCGTAGATATACCGCGTTACTCAATTTTCATCTTGTGAGACTGGCATCAACTGTTCCTCGATATAACACGAAGCTTGTCTTATCTTTTACACATGCGTAAGTTACTTTTCAATGCCATTGATGAACTGATAACAACTTTACTTCAAGTAAAAGCATTTAATTTCACTGTAAAGCATTCTTTTCCTTAAAAATATTTCAAACGTTTATATTACTTGGTAATAATACCACGTATACAATTAAAAAAAATTGTTTATAACACTCCACTCTTATTGATAAAATTGCAAAAGCCTTATAATTTATCACTTATATAATTATCTTGTTAATTATATTATAAATTCCAGTAAAAATGTATATAACCTAAATGATAAATAATAAGAAATTGATATAGTTCTTCAGCCGATTACACCTTAGCAGCTAATTAGAAATGTTGAATATATATTAATTTTGTCTCACCAACGTGGAAATGGCTTTAATGATTCGTTCATTTTCTAATACAGTAGAACGTAGTATTTCTCAGAAAGGTTTATAACCATAAGCAGTCTACAGGAAGATCACAATGAAGTATACGATAGAAAAAGAAAACAATACAAAAGTACAATGGACTCAATGGATCGCAGGTATCGGAGGTATGTATTACTTATATCAACGTTATAATATTAATACTATGTCAATGTCAACGAAATATATTAAATAAGTACATTAAAAAAAATCTTTTATATAGTTTCTAAAATATATATGATTAAAGCAATATCAACTTAAATTTATATATGTAAAGAAAATATTTCTCTATTAAAATTCAAATAAATATAAACACCGGCTAATAATTTTTCGAATTTCAGTCACTCTTCTACTTCTACTAGTAGGAATGATAGAGATTTGGAGTTCACCGTACATCGAAAATCTGACTTCGCCCGAATCTCCCATACCCATGACAGAGAACCAAGCGTCCTGGATAGTCTCTCTTCTAAGTGTAGGAAATCTAATTGGCACCGTTTGTGGTTCGATTGCCGTCAACTATCTCGGCTCTAAAACAGCGATCGTTGTGACGAGTTTGACAATAACTCTTAGCTGGCTATTTACACTTGTAGCTAATCGACGGGAATGGCTGTACGCAGCTAGGTTATTAGGTGGTATCGGTATGGGAAAAGCAAACAGCTGCTTCTCACTTTACCTAGGCGAGATCGCGGACCCTACAATTCGCGGAGCTCTGGTGGCCTTAGGTATGCATTTCAGTACTTCTCACAATTGTGTTTAGCAAATAAAATTAGTGTGTCTAACAAATTTTTTACTCAACGCGTCATAACTTATTGTTAGTGTAATATAATATGTAAATTTTTCGATTTTATGAGTATATCAAATTTCTCATTCTTATAAGAGCGATAAACGAGAATATAGCGAGAAAAAAGCAAAACTATCCAAACGCATTAACAATAAATAATTACATATGAACAATATTAACAAAGAGTCTTTTATTATCTGCAGCTGTAAGTGGATTATCAATAGGCAGCTTAATGATGAGTATCATGGGTGCGCGTTTAAGTCTGGAGATGAGCGCTCTCATATGTCTCATTCTCAGTTTACTACTGATAATCACCTTCATATGGTTGCCGAAATCACCGGACTATTTCATCAAAATCGGAGACGACGATAAAGCGCGTGCCTCGATACTTTGGTATCACCGTGATTGCGATGTGGAATCGGAGCTGACAGCGCTGAAAACCTTCATTGAAAAAAATAAGAGTCTTCCCTTCGCGGATGTTCTAAAGCAATTCAAAATTCCCTACATTATGAGAGCACAAACACTCACGTCCATGCTCTTCGTATATTTTCTGTTTAGCCAAAGCATTGTGTCGGCTTACATGGAGACCATCCTGCAAGACGCCCAAGTGACCGTTATAGACCCGTCAGTGATAGTAATCATCGTCACCGCTACGGGACTCGTCGGTTCCCTGGTTTCCATGTACCTGATCGACAAGTTCGGCAGGCGAATTCTGATGATCGTCTCAAGCGTGGGCCTCACGATCTCGCTAATCTGCTTGGGTGTACAATATCAGCTACTCGACGCGGGCTATGACCCCACCAATCTTCAGGCTCTACCCATTTTCGCGGTGTTGCTCTATGAAACATCCTCATGTATCGGCGTCATCCCAGTACCAAGCACAGTATTGAGTGAAATCTTCTTGCCACATGTTAAGTGCGTAGCTAGCTGTATCGCCAATATTGTCGGTGCGACAGCCTCTATTATCTCCACATCGACATATCAGCCTTTAATCAATTTGATCACGCAAAAGTACGTGTTCTATTTGCACGCTTTGATAATGACAACGGCTGTACCATACACATATTTCCGCATGCCTGAGACTAAGTGTAAGTCGCTACAGCAAATTCAAGAAGAGCTGGTTGGAAGAACTGAACAAGTGGTTTAATCGGATAGCATATAATGAACGAAATAGTACGTGAATACACTTATCGACTTCTTTTGACGATCGGTCTCTAGACAACCAATGGAACAACTTGTTTTCTCGTATTTATTACAAAACATTTTAATGGTGCCTCAACGGCGATGCCGAGTATTTGTCACATCATTTGCCACATTTTAATGTTACTGATGTGCCAAATAATGATTTAACAAATTGAAATCACAATGCAATATTCTCGTTTAATCTGATACTAACCCATTTATTAAATTGCGAAACAAATGCGAACGGATTCACGGAAAACATCTGATGTATAATATATCGGCACTGCTGCTGATTGTGAGTCAAACTCAGCATATGCATTGCTTTGTGAGAAAAATTTTATTTCATGTTTCATTTATAATATTTTACGAGGCTGTATTAGAATTAACAAAGGTGGCAGTAAATACGTCGCCAATGTGATAGCGCCCGTTACAAGAGTTACGGTTATTGTGCAAAACGTTGTTGTTTTATCTTATCGCTTGTATAAAAGTAGCGATATAAAACTTTGTGCCAACTCACCATGAATTTACACACATCAGAAAATTAAATTTGCTCTTATCGTATTTATTGAAACGGTAAAATATTCAATTTACCTAAGCGCAAAAACTTGATTTCCGGCATGAAAAATTATGTTTGTCAAAACATTTATTTCCTTTGTTATTAAAATAACAAACCATTTCGTTTAGAAAAACTTGGTGGTGCAAAATGGATTTACTTTAATAATACGTGCATGCAAAGTATTATTAAAAGAATGAAATGTTTTTATGTATATAATCTCATGCTCAGTTAGAACAATACTTCCTATCATTACTTTTATAGCAAAAATAAATTTAAACAACTTTCATTTACACAATTATTTTAAGGATTGCAAATAGTACAAGCTCTATTTTCACCTTTTTCTAACAAGGCAATTAAACTAATATATTACGCATTTTGTAGTATAAATCGTCTTATAGTATTACAAGTAATTTTCAGTATTTAAGATATTTGGACTGTTTAAAAAACGTTAAAAATATAAAAGTTATGTTTGGCAATGTTACGCGATGGAAGAAAGAAGAATGGCAGGATACTGTGACGAGTAGAGAGGAAAGAGGGTGTAGAGTGATAGACGTTGTAGGGGATGGCGGGGCAGGGGAGGAGACAGCGATGATGATGATGTTTCTGCAATTGTTGTCCATTTTAACATATGTACGTTTCATAAAGTCCTAATAAATAAATGTAGAAAATAATAGACACTTTTACTATTAACTATAATATGTAAAAGAACCCTAAACAATCGATTAAGTCTATTAAACATTTCTTGCGCCCAGTCATTTTTCAGATGCGGCTGTCATGCTTCTGCCCAATTTGATGTTTCAAATATTGATAAGCACTGTATTTCGTTGCCTGTTACGCGGACACCATTCGACACGAGATACTACCGTTTTAATTTTTCAATTAGGGATTTTAATAAAAAACCAATAATACTTTTTTTGCTAATATAAAACCATTAAAATATTTTACAAAATTTATAACTACGAAATTATAAACAAAATAGTTCGAATTATTTTCTAATTTTTTGTACTTATAGACCAAAAATAGAAAAAATGTGGTTCTTATAGATATAAATAATTTATTATTGCTATTAATTTGTACTCTACTAATTTCCTGTATTTATAAAATATGTATATATTTTCCCTTTTTTTGCATTTACATGGCTTCTAAAATAAATACTTCTTACATTCAGATAATACATTCTACGTGATAAGAAACGACAAAGTAGCTTATTATCTCCGAAACATAACCCATTTATTTTTAACAACGCGAACAGTGGCCTACCATACTTCTTTTATTACGCATGATGTTATATTTTTTTCTGACTCATACACAAAAACCATTGTCATAACCATATTGCGTTATAATTTACGTCTTGTGAGTTTGGCATCAATTGTTCGTTAAATGAATGGAGTTTATCGTATCTTTTTTACATATGTAAATTCATTTTCAACAACATCAATGAAGTGTTAAATGTTTCATGTTAATTAAAGCATTTACTTTTACTAGTATACACTGCGCAACATATGTATATGTATTGTATATAAAACATTCTTTTTCTTCAAAATGTATATCAAGTGTATACTTTGTACTAGTATCACGCCACATAATTTTATATTAAAATAATCGATAATACTATGGAAGGCTTATAATTTGTTAATTATATAAGTATTCTGTAAAACATATTATAAATTTAAATAAAAAATGTACGTACATACATTACTTAAACAATAAATAATAAGAAACCGATAGTTACATAGTCCTTCTACAGATTTTACCGTAGCAACTGTTTAAAACTCTTGCGTGTATATCATATTTCTATTCGACTACGATGATTGACTCAGTATCACTCGAAAAGGACCCAAAAAATAGGGTCGAAACGTTCTATAATAAATCGATTAAATAATTAGCCAGTTGGATTGACTATTAGTTTCCCGTCTCAATTTCTAATCATTACTGGTGACAATAAGCAAACTCTCCTTCGTCGTTTTTAAAATATGTTCATAACCGAAGGACTATGATGATTTGTATAAGTAAAAGAAATATGCATGTTTTAAAATTGAAGTAAATATAAATAACTATTATTTTCTGAATTTCAGCCAATCTTCTGTCATGCTTCTACAAGCAGGATTGATAGCGGTATGGAGTTCCCCGTACGTCGCATATTTGAATTCACCCAAATCTCCCATACCCATGACAACGAATGAAATTTCTTGGGTAGTATCTGTATTACATTCAGGCAAGCTCATTGGCTCGATGAGTCGTTCTGTTGAAGTCAACTATTTTGGCGCTAAAACAGCGATCTTCATGACAAACTTGACTATATAAGTTTTAGCTGGGTTTTGATAATTATAGCTAATCGAGCTGAATGGCTGTATGCACACCAGTAGTTAAATCCATGAAATTTATTCTATGATTAACAACAGAATGTTGATACTTTATCTGATTTAACAAATTATATCCTTTCCAACTATTACTGCAAGTACTTGTACCAAGTGCAATTTTTTTCCGCCGTAAATTTTGATCAGTTAGGATAAAGGAAGATTCTAAAAGGTCGTTACGTCACCATCATATCGCTTCTAAACAAGACAAATATGATAAGCAAGTGTTAGACAATTAACCCTAGAACCCGACACATGGGTAAAATTTACCCAGACCATCTTTTCGAACGTTACGGCTCTGAAAATATGAGGAGTTGGCAGTACTATACTAGGGCCAAAATTAGTTAACTAATTCCTTTGTTGGAAAGTATAACTCAGCTGTTTTCTCACCTGACCGTTTTCGACAGGGAAGACAGCAAAATTTCGTTCGGGTCAATTTTACCCATGTGTAGGGTTTACGTTGGAAAATTCATTTTTAATTTTTTCTTGTTTGTAATAAGATTGATCTTTCTTTCTAGTTTTTATTGAGAACTTGGTTGCTGATGTATGATAAATGTGCTTTAGAGGTTATAATTGTATCAAATAAGTATATTGTATATAACATATATTATGCAATAGAAGTGAAATTATTTATAAATAACAAATAATACATAATAATACATTTTCTTATAATAAAATAAGTTTGAAAGGGAAAATAGAGTTATTAAGTAAATAAACCCATAAAAAGTCCCATCCATATTTTGTTCGAACAGACCTATTTTCCTTGTAAAAAATATAGTTTTTTTAATAACCAGCGATCTGCTCCTAGATTTTCTCAAAGAATTAACCGTTTTTTTAAAAATCGCGTTTGCCTCATTGCTTTATCTGTTATTGTTAAAAAGTTATTAATTTTTTAGAGAAAAGCGAATTTTGAAGAAACATGTGTTTTGTTTTTTTATTATAATTTTCTTCAACTTTATTTAACCGCAAAACTGTTAGCATAATTATCTTCCTCGATGTTTTCTACACCGATTAAAAAAAAAACATTGAATTTTGACGAGAGTTATTAGCAAATGAAAATGGGTAAAATTTACCCATGTGTAGAGTTTACGTAACTTTTTGACGTGTCGGGTTCTAGGGTTAATAGAAAATAATACATGTCACTGTCGAATGGTTATTTTCAGTACATAATTTGCCAGGTCCTTACAACCAGATAATACTTTCTACGTGATAAGAAACGACAAGGTAGCTTATTGTGTGTTTCCGAAACATAACTCATTCAAGTTTAAAAACATGAACAGTTGCTTACCGTAGTTCTTTTATTACGTATGATATTACATTTTTTCTTGATTTATGTGCAAGAATCGTATGTTATAACTGTACACATATTACGTTACAATTTACGTCTTGTGAGCTCGGCATCAATTGTTCGTTCAGTGAATGGAGTTTGTCTTATCTCTTTGACATATGTAAATTAATTTTCACCAACTTCAATAAACTGGTAAATACTTCATGTTAATTTAAAGCAACATCAAGTTTGGTTGACCGTATCTGGCAGTTTTAATGTTTAATACTCGCTACGTCTCAACCATGAATTTTGGCCATTTTCAAGCGAACTGACTGAGAAAATCATGTACATGGATTTGCGTGTGTTTTAGTGATGTCTACCGTTCTCGTGTATCAAACCTCGACACGGAACCTTTACAGCGTTTTTGCGATTACAAATACAATCCAGTTTACATCACCAAACCACACGCAAATCAATGTACATGACTTTCTCAGTCAGTTCGCTTAAAAAGAACCGAAACCCATGGTCGAAACGTAGTGAATATCAAACATAAAAATTGCCATATACGGTCAACCAAACTTGATGTTATTAATTATTGCAGGCGACCCTGAAGATTATTCTTGTTAGTTAATTAAAAGCATTTACTTTTACTAATATACATAAATAAAACATTCTTTTTCTTTAAAATGTATTAAGCGTATACTTCATACTAGTATCACGCCACGTAATTTTATATTAAAATTATACAAAATACCGTGGAAGGCTTATAATTTATTAATTATATAATTATCCTGTAAATTGAATTATAAATTTAAGTGAGAAATGTTTCATACATACATCACTTAAACGATAAATAATAAGAAACGGATAGTTACATAATCCTTCTACAGATTTTACCGTAGCAACTGATTAAAACTCTTGCGTGTATATTATATTTCTATTCTCAGTCATATGAAAATAGCTTTAACGATTAATTTATTTTCTAATAGAGCAAAACGTAGTATTTCTCACAACGGTTTATAACCATAAGCAGCCCACAGGAAGATCACAATGGACCGTGAGACACAAAAAGAAAAAACTAAAAACGTGCAATGGTCTCAATGGTTCGCTGGTATCGGAGGTATATAAACCTTACATTTATATATAAACTTTATATTAATGTAAATAAAATTAATTAATTAAACATATTGACCGAAATATTTCATATCTTTTCAAAATACGTTCATGATCGAAGAATGTGACGATTCGTATAAGTAAAAGAAATATTTATGTTTTAAAATTGAAGTAAATATAAATAATTAATAATTTTCTGCTTTTCAGTCAATCTTCTGCTTGTACAAATAGGAATGATAGTGCTATGGAGTTCACCGTACATCACATATTTGACTTCACCCGAATCTCCCATACCCATGACAATGAATGAAATTTCATGGGTGGTATCTATATTAAATTTAGGCAGGCTAGCTGGCTCGATTTGTGGTTCTGTTGCAGTCAACTATTTTGGCGCTAAAACAGCGATCTTGATGACGAGCTTGAATATAAGTTTTAGCTGGCTTCTGATAATTATCGCTAATCGAGCGGAATGGCTGTATGCAGCTAGGTTTGTAGCTGGCATGAGTGTAGGAAGCGCGAATTGCTGCTACCCACTTTATCTAGGCGAGATCGCGGAACCTACGATTCGCGGAGCTCTGGTCGCTTTAGGTATGCATATTTATATTTTAGTATTTCTGTTTCGCATACCTGTTAATGTATATGTGTCAAACTTTATGGGCAAATGCACAATTCTGAAATATGAAGAATGCTTGACATCCAGCTGTTTCGAAATGGCAACTGAACAATGATTTCATTCATTTAATTTTTGAGCGATTACATTGTAATGCAAAATACTTTTTTCCAAAGGTACATCGCAAATATTCGGATAGTATATAAGCGATCATTATAATGCAAAATAATAACATATACAAAAGAAGTGGTTTTGTTGCCACGCCAAAGCTGACACTGCAACCCTATATTCAATGTGAACAAGATTAAATTTCTTTGTCGTAATTTGCTACTCATCAAGTAAATATATTTTACAGAGATTTCAATTCATACAAATATAAATACTGAAGCGAAGTTTACTTGTTGCCAAAGCAAAATATCTCTTACAAATATTGTTATGTTACGATAAGAGATAATAATTTACATAATTAACAAAATAATGTGTAGCATATAAATTTAATATTATTAAAAAATTTTTATTGATAAACTTAGTAACTAACTACATCATGTTCATATCTCATT